TTTTTCAAAGGTTTTCCTGAGGATAGAAGCAAGACTAACTGGTCTGTAGTTACCCAGATCCTCCTTCCTCCCTTTCTTGAAAATAGGGACTATGTTGGCCCTTTTCCAGTCCTTTGGGACCTGACCTAAACACCAAGAGTGCTAAAACAGCTGTGCCAGTGGCTCTGCTATGACACTGGGGTGGGAAAAAGAGACTTGTACAGGAAGGAAAACTATGCTAAGGTCTGCTGGAATGGGAAAAATAGTGAGGTGGACCTAGAAGGGAGTAAGAGCAGAGTAGACTAAGGAATAAGGGGAGCATAACAAACAGAGAAATGATGAGGGAAGTGAAAAGGTACAACATTAAACCAAGTAAATTAGAAAGGGAAGAGGTAAGGAATCCAAAAGATGAATGAGGGGAAAAAGTGTAAAGGAACATACTAAGATCAGCCAGAGATTAAAGTAAAAAAATAGCATGTCATGAGGGTGAGAGAGAGAGAGAAAGGGCTGGGATAAATTGGCAATATATGTCAGTTTGGTCTGGAAATAGTCATGTTATGCAAATAGCCCCCAAACCTGTAGCACCAGCTGACACTGATGAGAAGGTTTCTGCTGCTGCCAAGTTGTTATGCCTCAATCTCTAGCTCTCTTCAGCTGCAGTTTGGTTTAGACACTGGATATCCTATATTTGATATTCCCAGATAAAAGAATTTGACTCTGGTGGGATATAACACAAACGTATTGCTACCCATGCATTTTGACAGAAGGTTCTGCCTGGTTTGCTATAAATGCATTGTAAGTCACCAAAAGACTACCACACAACCATGGCAGCATTCTTAAACTAGACCATGATTCAGAGGTAAATTTACTATTGGTTGATTAACTTTTCATGACTATATCTATAAGTGAGAATTTGACTCATAGACTGGTAATTCAGTGAGAGAGACAGGCTTTTCATTTTCTCAGATCTTTGCAATCAATGGCTAACAAATATTTGAGGACATGAGATACTAAATGACTCTCTGCCAAGATAAGTGCTACTTTTTTCGTCCGGTATGTATAGTTTGGCACAATCATTCAGGTCCTTTTTACCACCAGATTAGATGTATATATTCAATATGGACCTGCATTTGGGTAACTTGGAAGTTCGCAACTGAAGTCTTCAGCCTGCTTTCTAAGTGAAGTTGCAGAGTGGAAACACATTAAGGCAGTATTCTACGAGCTATGCTGGCTCCTAATAAGTTTCTCAGTGGAAACTCTAGTGTTGATTTTATACTGTAAAATCCTAAAGAGTTTGCACTTTGATTACTTGAGACATTAGCTTTTCCCAATGATATATGACCATCATTCCTGCTAGTGGTGGTGTGAGAAGTGATGGTCTTGTGGAATAAAAGGGAGGTACTCCCAGGGTATTTTGAGGAGTCCTTAATTTTGGGACTTGAGTCTAAATTTGTTAGGTTTCTGAATTTAAATTTTTTTTATCTTATTTTCTCTTTGCGTTAAGTATGGTAAATTGTTATGCTGTCCAGGGCATGTAGTCTTATTTAAAAAACTAGAATAATTAAATAAATGAGAGGGGCATATATTATATCAATTATATTTGTTTAACAGTTTTTAAGAAAGACAAATTAAAATCAGATCCAGTTGAAAATCATATTGAATTATGTTAAAATTAAATGAAAACAATAACTTGAAGAGAAAAGAAAACTAAATATGAAAAATAATTATAAATATATAATGCTCAGGAAACTAAGAGCATGGGGAGATGGGGCACTGGAATGGCTGGAAAAGTCGTGAACTGGAAATAGTCTGATGTGTTAACTTCTGACCAGGCTTCATTAAACAGGTGAACAGTATTTATTACCTCCTCCTACTTAGCTTTGCTACTTTTCTTTTTATTGTAATGTGAACATGTATGGCAGAACACATGTGTAGGCCTCGGGTTATAAAGAAAGAACCAGGTTTGTAATAATTGGCCCTTGTAATGAAACAGCTGTTGGAGTGCTAACACAAACTTGAAACCATGGTGGTGGCCTGAAAAACTGCCTTGGCATAACTGATACCATTTTTTCCCTTGGACAGATATCACAAGGTACAAGCGAAGTGCACACAGAGGCAACTGAGCATGGAGGTAGTGTAAGCCACTGCTGTAGGCCAAACAAGATGTAGATAGCTGTAGAATGTAGGAAGACAGGCTGTAGGCAAAACAAAACCCAAGGACAGTGTCACAAGGTCACGTAGGTGCCTTGTGCCTAGAAAAGGGTTAAGAACAGCTGCCAATCACCAGGGCAGCTCAGCTGCTGGTTGCTGGGGCAACCATGTTGGTCAGGTGACCAGAAGGGGGCAGGGCCGGGCCCTTATAAACAGCCCAGGCCGGAGCCTGGCTGGCAGTTCCATTCTGGCAGCTGGAGGAGCAAGAGCTCTGCAGTGGAGCCGAGCTGAGTCGGGCAGACTGATAGAACGAGTAGCTGCATCATGGCAAGGGTGGAGAGAACCCTGACTAGGAGGTTTTACTGGAAAGCCAGATGGGGCCTGGACTTGATGTTATAGCCAGAAGGCTTGTGGTTGTGTTGCAGCCGGTTGGCTCTTAGTTTTGTGTTCCTTGTTTGATATGGTTAAAACTGGAGGACCGGGTGAGGCTGTAGGGGTGCGAGGAGGCCTCACAGGAGCTCCCCAGCATTTTGGGGGTTCCTAGTGCCCTGTGTGGGCGCGGCAGTCATGCCAGGCACGGCACAGTTGTATGGCACCGAGGCGGCGCAGCAGATGGGGGGAGTGACCCTATCCCTGGACGGGTGATAGTTGTGAGACCCGAGCAGGGGAGAGGATCCCGGCAAAGGGGCAGGGGGCCAGGCACAGCTTAGGCCACCTGAGCCCCACTGATGGCACACCAGTAAGAAGCCTGAGGGCGGCTCGCATCTGGCCACGAGAGAGAGGGGGCCACACGAGTGGAAGCCCCGGGTGGGTGTTGCTAGGGAGACGAGCCCGGCGAGGGTGAGTCAGTGATTAGAAAGAGCCCGGCAAAAGTGGAGGGAAGCTGCAGGAGCGGGCGTGTATGTGAGAGAAGCCCAAGGGAGGGCGCACATGAAGGAAGCCCCAGGAGGGGTACATCTGATTGATAGAAACCCCAGTTGGGGTGCGGACTGGGCAGAGTCCCAGAGGGCTCTGCAGGGGTGGGACCCCGAAGGGTCACAGGGGCCAGGTAAGGCTCAGGCCGCCTGAGCCCAACGGGAATAAGTACTATTAGTAAGCCCGAGAGGGCTAACGACTAGAGGGGCGCCGGTTGCGTGATGAGCCCAGAGGCGCTAGGGAAGGGGCGCCGGTTGCATGACGAGCCCAGAGGTGGTAGAAAAGGGGCGCCGGTTGCGTGACAAGCCCAGGGGCGCTAGAGAGAGGTGCCGGTTGCATGACAAGCCCAAGGGTGCCTGGCAGGGCGCAGAGAGGCAAGGGACCAGATAACGTCCGGAAGAGCTGCGAAGCTTGGGGCGTGCTAAAGGGGAGGTAGGAGGCACGCATAGCCCATAAGGCTGGGGTGCACCAGGTCACCCCATAGAGAGTAGGAGCCCGGATAGTTATAGCACTGTGTCCAGGTGGACTAAAGGCAGCCTCCTATATAAAACTATAAACCAACAAGATGTGGCGGGCAAGAATAGAGGGTGCTGGATTGCCTACTTGATATGGCAGGGGGGCGCTAGTGAGATCACGGCTGCTCCTGTGCCCTACTCCGTGACAGACAGCTCAGTAGGGAACAAGTAAGTTCAGAAAGAAACAAGGTGAGGGTGACAAATTGATGAGGAAATAACTGCTGTAGAAGTTAATTGTTGAGGATCTATAGTATGACCATACAAGAAATATACAGAAGAGGACTGTAAAAGGGTATAAAAGTCTAAGGAAATGACCAAGTTTGGGGAGTTGTCACCGAGTCAGAGGAGAACACGTCGGTCAAAACTGGGACCCCCAGGGCCATGATGATGCCTAGCTAGCTGAGTCATTGTGCATTGATCAGAAGACTGGCATAAGAATACCTTTACAGACAGCTTTGGATTTTGCTTAAGTAATGGTATTATTTATGTGTTCAGTACATTTGGATTTGAAACTGGAATGGGATCACCAATCATTTGATACCATTCATACCACTCCTTAATCAAAATTAAGTGCACCAGATTTAGAATCCCTTGTGGCTTCAGCGAGTGAGCTGAAGTGGGCTCTAGCTGGTGAATGGAGATCATAATATCCAGGTTTATTGAACCGTGCTGGGTCCCAAGGATTGCAACGTTGATTCATGTAGAGAGGGATTTGCTGAGACTGTACACACTTATGGGCGAGTAGGATATCCAGTTAGGGATTTTCCCCTTTCCAAAACTAACAACATGGCAACAGAAGTAGAAGATTTTAGATAACCTAATTAAATGCTTTGTCACTTTTCAAACCAATTGTAAAAAGAAAAGAAAATGTGTGTGGTTTCTGACCTTTAACTTGGTTTATAATATATATGATAGATTTTATTTGTATTTATGATGAGGCGCTAATACGAATTCCCAATCTTATTCATTTAGGAAAATATTAATTTCATGCTGTTTTTTACTATAAGGTAGAAGACTGGCAGCTTTCAGGGCCCCCTAAGTGGAAATATTGGTGTTGGCCTCAATGGGGATCTTTTTTCCTCATTGCTCCACAGATTTCATTAATCAGACTTTTTAAGCTCTAACAGTATGTTTTTTGAGGATGACAGTTGTTTTTGCCTTCTGAATAGCACAGTTATTTAGTACACTTCATACAAATTTACTATTAGGTGATACTTCAGTTCTATAAGGTTCTTTTTTTAAGGTTTGATTTTTCATTAAAAATAAGTTACAAGACACCTACAGAGAATTTCTGTAAACCAGTCCCTTGAAGATGGGGTATAACAGTAACATTCTTGTGTTGGTCGAATGACTTGTGAAAAATCATGCATTCAGTGGAAACATATGGGTTCTTTCTTTGCATTTCTTTAAAATGTTTGTGGTATTTTGTTTCTGTTTTAGGAAATTCTAGGAAGAAACTGGTGTGCTCAGTGTGCAATAAGAAGTGTTCCTCAGCAACAAATCTTCAAGAGCATCGAAAGGTCAGTAAGATGAAGGCTGACCCACAGCAGGCTCTGACTTCACCAAGATATGAAAGCATGGAGCTTGGGTCACTTGAGAGCTCATGTAATACAAACTAGTAGGTAGTTTTTTTATGGTTACAAAAAATGCCATTTTTTTTTATTCTGGGCTTTTAATTTTGTAACCACAGTAGGTTAAATCAAAATTTTTGGTTCATTTGTAACCTATCATTTGCTGAGCATCAAATTGTGTGTGTGCGTGTTCATTTTCAAATTTCTGAGTTAAGCCAAAATTGCCTACTTTTATTTAGCTGCAGGTCACAGGAAGGGGACTAAATCTAAATGTATATTAGCCTAATTAGACTGAATCTTCCTGATTATGCAGAAAATGCAAACAAGTTCTTTTTTTCCTTACGATTTTATGTGAAAATAACATCACAATCCTAAGAATGTGGTCTGAAATCTATTTTAGTGGTATGGTTAGTGTAACAATGCCTTTAAAAGAGAAGAGGTATAAAAAGCAAATACATTTTTAGTTTTATTCATTTGAATTCTTGTAGATAAATTGAAATAGTGGCATTTCAATAACCAGAACAGAAAGAGTTAATTTTCTAAAAAATATCCATTGGAAATAAAGTAGTTAGTATAGATATACAGATAGGTAATGAATAAGGTTCTTAAACTGTTATACCCAAAGGAAGATCCTGCAAGATTAATTTGATAAATCAGTAAAACCCGAGAGGGCCAGATTTTACAAAAAACTATATTATATAGTTTATCAGATCAACCATGAGTCTTTTAATAATGCCCTATTTTCAGTGTTAGTCCAGTGAGAATATATATGATATTAATTAAAATAAGTTGTTGTAAAATTGTTGCAAGCCCTTTTACTAATTTTTCATGATTTGTTATTTTGCTTACTTGTATTAATGTTCTCTTGAATGTTTTGGAGAGAAAATACAAAACACCACTATCCAATTGCCCAGTCACTTTCCAAGGTAATCAGAATGTGTTCTGTTTTTAATTTAGGTCAGGAACAACAAATCAGTGTATATTCAGATGACCATGTCACTGAAAGCCTTGAACCATCCCACTTTTCTAGGTCACTCCTTGTGAGGTTTATAGAGAAGATTTGTCTTGCAATAATTATACATCTCTTAAGATGTTATCCATCCACATGAACTAGTGACCAAGTTTGCCAGCAAAAGTAGGTTAACTAAGTACCTGTTCATCTCGAGAACCACCATCAGGATTGTCAGTATTTCCTCCCATTTTTCTTTGGCTTCTGATAGAGGTTACACTTAAGATGTGCTTAACTGGTTAATTGTGTCTTAAGTAGTGACCATACCTTCAATCAATTCACAGCGCGATAAAATTAGGAATAAGCTACAAAGTTATTAGATATGTTGTGTGTAATAATTTTGTAACTGGTTCCTATCATGCCTTTAATTGAACATTGTGACCATCCTCTGGAGTACATGGGAGGGTTTTGAGACTCTTGTGTGCTCCAGAAACTGGAAGGCTTCTCAGCTGATCAGAACTCCCAGCTCGGGGAGCGCACCATGTGGACAAGAGCCCTTGTCAGATGATCAGGTGCATCATGGCAGGAAGTGCAATTGTTGGGATCCAATGTCAGATCCAATCGCACCTTTACTTGAACATCTATGAAACTATCTATCAGGGACCTTTCTGTTAACTTATTCCCTGTGAGAGCCCATATCCTGAAATAAACCAACTCTGCCCAGGCAGGATATCTGATCAATTTGGAGGCATTTAGAACTAAATAAAAAGGATTTAGGTGCTTAACATGGAGACTCAAACGGGCACCACAAAGGGTATGATCAAGTAGGTGTTTGCAGAGTGTGCCTAACTCGCACCAAGAGGACTGGGCATCTCACAAAAACGCATTCGTAACTGTAGCTTTCTCTTAAAATGCTGCAGATAGGGAATCTCACTTATTGTACAATACCATGTTGTATTATACCATTTTGTGTATTATACCCAAGTTGTGTCCCTGTTTCTATGGAGGTTCAAACCCAATTTCTCTTTCCTTAGAGATGCCTGTAACTGGTTGAAGAGAGAGGTGGCACCTTGTGGTCTCGCAGGGAATTTAAACATGTGCTCCAGGAGTGAAGTGCATGGGGGAGCCCAGAGCATCACTTGTATCGATGTACCGACACTGAAAAATGGCGACAGGGGGGCTTTAAATAAAGCACCCCCATTGCCATTTTGCAGCATGCTGGAGCACAGTAATTACCACGTTACAGTAGACTCAATTAATTGAGTCTGCTCTGACACGCTGTAATTAGTGTGTTGGAGCAGCCTCACTGCATGTGTATAGGTATCCCTAGTAAGTTGGGGCATTTCAGGTCCTTGTTTCCAGGACTGTCGCTGTATCATATATTTAAAAAGTCATTGCATAAAATATAGAAACAGTCCTGGGAGAAAGTTCCACAAGGCTACAAAGTCATGTGCATTCTTTTGCTCCCCTCCAATCCCCTTCCCCTCATTTCTCTCTTTCTATTTTCCAGTGAATCTTAAATTCCTGAGAACCCAAAGAAGGGCCAGAAGAGACACTGAGATGTCTGGCACCCCAGGAAGGGGCTGTACAGAGAGACTGAGAGGTCTCGGGGTCTGGAGTGGGGCTGAGAGAGGCTGAGGGGTCAGAAGGCCCCTAGAGGGGTAGCATTGGCAATTGGTAGAACATCTGTAAGGATGCCATCTGCGAGGCATAGGGTTTGGTATAGAGGAGGTATGAAGCCATGCAATTAGCCCAGAAGGCCAGGACCACAATCGGTGGTAATTGTAATAAGACCAGGGCAGCCTCTTGCACTCTGTGTAACAAGTAACATCAAGACATAGCAGGAAAGATCTGGGTGGACAGCTCATAGAGTAGGGTATCTCCATTTTTTTCCTGGTCCCTGTGACTGTCCTCTACAAATTTTGTAAGTGTAAACTCTTGTTTGCATCAGGTATTATTTACAGAGAGGCCCTTTTTCTGATAGAAATGAATATCTATTCTCTCTGGCCATGGTGCATCTGTTTTTCTGGGAGTGGCAGCCGGGGGCAGCAGAAAAGCAGTGAAACGCCCCCAGAGTTAGAAGTTTGTAGAACTATTTCCTGGAAAAAGTGCAGGATCCAGTTATAAAAGATTCCCTGAAAAGTCTGATCGCATTGCTTGTATCTGTGGATCTGTGCAGGGACTAATTTCTCAAGGGTTTTTTAACAGGTAGGGAGGTGGACCTCAACACTGATTACCAGTGATTACCAGTTCCGGAAAGCATCCTACTCACTTTTGAGACATTGTGTTTTCTAAGGGGGTTTTTTTGGGGGGGGAGTGTGGGGAGGGGTTGCCGACATGTGCTGGCATCTCTCAATTGGTTCTGAGAGCCACTCTAATTAAAGTGCCCACAACGTCTCATGTATCAGCATCCCTGTGCTTCAAAAGTACTGTGACAGGGATACTTCAACTGAAGTTTATCAAGCGAGTTTTAGTTAAAGTGTCCTCATCATGATTTTGAAACATGGAGATGCTGATAAATGAGATATGGGGGCTGGCTGGAGCATGCTAATTGGCACACTCCAGCAGACTTGATTAATCATGTCTGCTCTGACACGCTCTAATTACAGCACTTCGGAGCAGCCTCCCTGCATGTGTACAGGCACCCTACTCTATCATGTGATTTTTCTTTATAACAGTCCATTTTGTACCAATAGAAATCTACTTTAAAATGAAACACTGATTCAAAGCACTTTAAACCTATAAAAAAAATCGATTTGTGTGGTACAGAATTGTTGACTCTGACCCCTTAATTCATTCTGAATTGTACTTGTTTACACTGCACGTAGTCCTACTGGCTCTGTAAGAGGATCATTAAGTAAATGATCGAAGGGTTTTTAAACCCGAAAGCTTGCTTAAAATTTTTTCCAACTGTTTAATTTGGTCTAATAAAAGATATCAGATTCACCCAAAGAACCTTCTCTGCCTGTGTCCTTAGACCAACATGGCTACAACCTACACCCCTCATTAAGTAAAAGACATTAGGTATGAATAAATGTTATTAGCAGGTGGCTTTTGGTAAACTGCCTTGCAAAAGTTAATCCAATTCAAGTTCACCTCTGCAAAATTATTCATAGAAAATTTGTCCTATTTAATAAAACAAATGAAGATTTCTGAGACTGACACTCTTTTAAATGAAGAAATATGTTTAGTTGAGGTTACATAGAGCTTGGTCACATACTTGCTATTCTATTCAATTAGGTCATAAGAGGTTGCTATCTAGAGCTGTAAATCAAAGTGCTCTTAAACAGTTACAAGAACGTTTCTTTGTCATGCACTTACTTAAGTGCTGCTTGGAAATGGAAGCCTCCCTAGTTCATATTACTATCAAGTGAGTTATTCTACATACTAAAGGCTTTGTTACATGGTAATTTGGGGCAGCTCCTGGAACTCTTTACCCCTGGATTGTCCACACATTAACACCTGAAACTAGTTTTAAGCACCCTTTAGGTAGCTTAGTGCCCTGCCACTCCAGGGCAGGTTTATTTCTGTTACCCAGCTTGTGTTACACTAACCTGTGGCCACTCTAGGCTACACATTGGTATAAATACTCCACCACCCCTGTCTCCCACTAACACATATTGAGCCCATTGCTTCCACGTGCCCCTGATTGAGCTGCCCTCCCTATCCCCCCTGGATCAGATCCAGTGTCCCCGGCCTTCCCAACACCCCACATCCCCCCTCCTATGTCCTCTTTCTTGTGGCTGCCAGCACAGTGCCGGAGGAGCAGGCAGCAAGGGGAACCCAGCTGCTTAGCTGCTACTGCTGTTGCTGCCACTCTTTCGACTGGGTAATCACAAGCAAGTCAGGGGACATGGGAGCCTGAGTGAGCTGTGAAGGCTGGGGGGCAGGGGAGAGCACAGAGGGAACCTGAGGGGCAAGGAGGGAGTCCCAGGGTGGGTGGGGATAGGGAGAATGGTAGTGGGTGGAGAGGCAGGGGGAAGTCCAGATTTGGGAGGGG